ACAACTGAGCAAAAATGTGAAAAGGGTATTTAGTAGCTGCAAGGTGTGGGAGGAGGAAGATGCAGGCGGTTTCCATGGGGGTGGTTTGTTTGTAACAATGGTTGTACAAAAGGAGGAGGAAGAGGATGCATGAACATGGGGGTGAATGCGAAAATGGGTGCAAAGCAGGGCTGCAGAATAGAAGAGAAATGGCTTTATAAAAGGGTTTGGGAAGGTAAAAAATAAACTTAGTAGTTGCACAGGGTTCTTCTTCTTTGGCAATCACTTGTAGCCAAGTAAGATTGTCTTCCATAAGCACGGTTTTAACAATGAGTCCATAAGTGACTGTGGAGGCCAATTCTGGATCCACACGTCCTTCCACAGTGGGGACATTGCTTTCTGGGCAGGTAAAGGGCTAGGGGGGAATGTGGGGGGAATGGCAGATGAGTTTGCATACTGTGTAAGGAGGAATACAACTCCCAATCAATGTATATTTTCTCTCAAAAGATGCATTCTCAAAATATGGAACATTCAGAAAGGGTGAAAATGTATTTTTGTTTTTTTATTAAGTTTATTTCCAATTCATTTGCCAGTTTCTCTGCGATGTACAGATCAGGTTGCTCTCAGTGTACCTGTTTTTCATGCAGAAAAACCCAGATTCAATCCCTGGTGTCTCCAGGTAGGGCTGAAACCCTGCCCGAAACCCTGGAAAGCCTCTGTCAGTCAGAAAAGGCAATAGTGTACTAGGTGGACTAATGGTCTGGTTTAGCATAAGGCACCTTCCTCTGTTCTTAGCAGATTTATCTGAGTTGCTCAAGCATCGTCATCACTTTCTCACTTCTCAATATGACATAATATATCTAACCCAGTTTGATGCTTCCTAGTAATTCATCCCTGCATGCTGAGGCAGAAAGCTGAAGAGATGCAAAATAGTTGTGGTGTGATGTTGTGCAATGCCATGCTTTGGAACAACAGTCATTATAGTCCCTTATATAAATTCACCACTAGGATTTAGTGAAGCCCCTCAAAGCTGTGACTGCTGTACCATATCAGTACTTTCAATCTCACTCTCTTTCTCTCATTGTGCGTGACCCACCAGAAATTGTAAGGCTTAATTTTCCAGTTTGGTTTCTTTTACAAGTAATGCATTAATAAAACAACTATATGAAAATGGACCAACATAAAAGCTTTCCTGGAGATCTTGCAGGGAGTTCTAAATCACCATTTTGTTTAATGCACTGTTGGAACAATTTACTGCAGCTCTTTCTTGTTAGTCAAGCTGGCTTCTGTGTTAAAGCTGCATAATGTACCTGCACATTCTCATTTGCAAGCTCTGCTTAGCTGTCAGATCAAAGTTGTTTTGTTAGAAACCAATGATGTCAATCCATAAAGCAGCCAATCTTTCTGGATTTTTGGAAGTGTTTTACCAGTAAAGGGTTGTTAACCAGCTATTGTCCACAGAGTTATGCTCAAACATAAGCAGGTGACGTATTCACTTAATTAATCAGAAGTGGTGTTTGTTGGGATAAGAACATTAGTTGCATCTTGTAAAAACAGGAGCCCCGCCTGCTTAATGTATTGACAGAATTATCAGCAGTTGCTATGAAATACAGTGCAGGTTGTCCAATAAATGTGATGGATCATCTAATTAACTCTTGATTCGCAGTAGCTTTTAAAAGATGCTACCTACTGATCTCGATGACAGCTTCTAACCTTCGTCCTGAGAGGATGCAGCTAATTACTCCTTGGGCTATAATTCTGTTTCTTGATTCTCAGCCCATCATTTTTCGTCTTATAAATTATAACACGATTGAGCTCCACAAATCCACTGGGGCTATAAAGCTGCTCTTTGCGATGGATTGCTTAGATTTTGTTACAATGCATTTAGGCCAAACAAATGTCTTTTAAGTAAATTTCAAGGATGTCCATTTTGTAGGTTTTCCATTGATCGAAACACTGACCTTGAGAGGCAGTTCAACATTAATACACAGGATGGAAGGATAACACTCGCAACTCCACTGGACAGAGAAACCAGCACATGGCACAACATAACCATTGTGGCAACTGAAGACAGTAAGTGATTGCCCCTTAGTACTTGGGTTTGTTTGTTTTGCTTTTATTGGCTTATGATGAATGTTTAATTTAAAAGCCTTCATGTGCCACTTGGCAAGGACAACTGTCTACTGTGCCTCCTATGCTTGCATTATTGTATATATTATATATGTAAATGTAGATAGATGTAGTTTGCAGCCCTTACTTGATGCTGCATGGGTATTCCTTAAAAATATTGCATTTTGAGATTTCCAGTGCTATTCCATTTCTTGCTGACTGAGATTTATTTTGGTGGTGTACGTATCCAGAGCTAGATGTTTTATGACCTCCTGTGCAGTGATGCCCTGATCTGTGAAATGCAGCAGGAGTGAGAAACCTCTGGCCTACATTGGTCCATTAGGGTTTCCAATATAACCCAGAAGCCATCCCCCCCCCCAGCCACCTGCCGCTGTTATATGCATATCAGGCGTGAGACAGGAAGAGACATAGATGACAATACAAAACAGGCAAAGACACGGGCACTTTAAAGCACCATGCAGGGCTCCTTTCAAGCCCTGCATCGTGCTTTACAATCCCAGCTTCAGGACATCAAAGCACCCAATCAGCTGGTGTCATTGTGACATCAGCTAACTGGCAGGTTTCCCATGATCCCCATGAGGCTATGATCAGATAAGGATGTGGCCTCTGGAGCGAAAAGATTTTCCTATTATTGCCTTACAGGTTTGACTGGCACTGAAATTGATATCATGTTGGCACTAGGTTAAGAGTTATTTATTTACCCACACATTTAAAGTTTTGTAATTTGATTAGAGTTTAGCCTGCTCTTTTGTTTTTAGATGCTTTTGGGGGCTATTGATGGTGTATTTAAGTATGCATTGTTGTCTGTTTTATGATTTAGTTGTTTTGATTTCCTGTTCAGTATTCCATCCTGATATCTATGTTGATGAAGAGCAGGTTATAAATATTTTAAATAAATAAAGATACACACTTCACTTATTTCCCCTGTGAATAAATGAGCATTTTATGCATGGATGATTTTACCCATCCCCATCTCAGATATAATACAGAACTTAACAGTCTGCAGGAGACATATTGCCAGGAATAGATCTTGGTAGATGCTGAGTTCTTGGCTTCTTCTTTTCTTTTTTTGTTTTAAGAAAGCATTACAACCCTTGCTTTTCTGCCTGTTGTTCACATGTTTTGCCAAGCCAACACATGGATTACGTGGATCAGGAAATAGTGCTGGCAAAGTGTTATAGGTAGTGATGACACCAAATTCCACCATTTTTGTTTGGGAATATGAGTTATGCATGTCAGGAAATAATGCTGGCAATTCTAAATAGTGATGACACCAGCTTCCCTAATTTCTGGTTTAGGGATAGGATTCTCAGTGACTGCTAACACTCAGTTGAAATATGAGGCAAGCACTATGGCCTGAGAATTCATGTCCTCACTTCATGTCTCCATAGCACACACCTGCTTTCAAAACATGTATCCCAACTTCCCAGCATCTGCTTGAGTATTACATAGAAGGACCTGGCATACCGCTACAGCTGTGAGCGAGACATCAAATAGGGTGGAGGGAGAAGTAAATAAAGTATACCCCTCTCTTCCTTTCTCCTTTTCACAGCCCCGAATAGAGCAGCAGCAAGAGGAAGATGAGTGGAGGGAAGTGGGAGCAGGCAGTAGGGCAGTTGTAAGGAAAGGAGCTGCAAGACTCATAAGGGCAGCTGGAGGAAACAACTGGTCCTTGTCATGCTCTTAATGGCATCATCAAGACATGATGGGGTCCAGCTGATTTGTAATTGGACTTGGGGATAAACTAATGCATTTTTGTAAGTCTGGATAAAAATATTTCAGCTTTATCAATCCACTTAATGAGTCCTATTGAGAGTTTGCTCTACTGCAAATTGTAAAATACAGATGAACAAAGAATGTGAAATATCATCCTTATAGTTTACTATTGGTTCAACAGCCATTCACAAAATGAGAGGAATTTAGATGGTTGTCCCAAAACACCTGCACTGAAAAGCATCTAGATCAGAGAGCTGTTGTATTTGGATTCTGCTTGTGGGCTTCCCATAGGCATCTGGTTAGCCAGTCTAAGAACAGAATGCATGACCACATGGGCCTTTGATCTGACCCAGTAGAGCTTTTCTGTTGTTCTTATCTAACCCAAAGTAAAACAAATGAACAAAAAATGCAAACAAACAAACAAAGAAACCCTGTTCCATGTCACTTAGCTAATCCCCAGGTGTCTTATTGAGATATGCTATACTTGCATCTGATTTTTCCTCATTAATTGTCATATTAAATCCTATTAATTCAGATTTTACTGAGAAATCAGAGAATGCTGTGATTTCTCTAGACCAGGCTCCCTCAGCCTCAGCACTCCTGATGTTTTTGGCCTACAATTCCATGATCCCTAGCTAGCAGGACCAGCGGTCAGGGATGATGGGAACTGTAGTGTCAAAACATCTGGAGGGCCGAGGTTGAGGAAGCCTGTTCTAGACATTCCATGTAAAGAGTTTTGGTTTGATATAGGGAGAGCTATATCATCATAATACAAAATTGTTGTATAATGCCCAATACGGTACATCCTTCTATTCCAATTGAAGACTGCCAGTCAATACTGTTGCATGCCACCCCTATCTCTGAGCTGTTGTGAAATTTGAGGAGTTACACTGGTTCTGTTATTCTTTGTAGAAATGAGGCACAGCAGAGACTGTGCCTTTATATGGTTTATTTGCACATATATACAACCTAAGTATATGATTGAGGGGTTCACATCCATTTGGAAAGTCTGAAATCAGAGTAGCAGTAGCCAATGTGGTGGTCTTGGGATGTTGTTGGAGTGCAATTAGGAACATGGGAAGCTGCTTTAGGAAGTCATGTCACAGCACACTAGAGTCTACACTGACTGGCAGAGGTTGCCCAAGGTTCTAGGTAGGTATTTATTCCCAGCCTTCAGTCCCAGTTGGGGACTGAACCTGAGTCCTTCTGTGTACAAGACAAACGCTCTACCACTGAGCTACGACTCTTCCTTTTCCCCAGTCAAAAACAACTGGAGGATAACACAGTGGCCAGCCTTGGCCTGCTGTATAAGCATAGGAAACTCTGAGTGACTAGAAAACATACAAAGCATCCTAGTCATGTGGAAAGTTTCTACATGCGTAGACTTGTTCATGAATTCTACGTCCTTCAAATGAACTATTATTATATTTATTTATATCCCACCGTTTCCCAGATGGGGCTCCAGGCAGTTTACAGGTTAAATATAAACAGCTAAAACCACAGAAAAGATGTGCTAAAAAGCTATTAAACACACACACACAAGTTTAAATATCATCTGTTAGAACACAGATATAATTGAAACAAAAACATCACAGCATAAGCCCTTTCCTTAAAGACAGCCATGAATGTGTGCAGGTGGAAGCTATCATCATGCCCCCCCCTCCCATGTATACCACTTTAATGGCCACGGGGAATCCTGAGAACTGTAGTTTGTTAAGAGTGCTGGGAACTATAACTCTGTGAGGTCACCACCCTTAACTACAGTTCACATGATTATCCAAGTCTGCTAAAGTGGTAGACTAGTGCTTTAAATCCATGGTGTGGATGTGGCCATTGTATAATAATAATAATAATAATAATAATAATAATAATAATTTATTATTTGTACCCCGCCCATCTGGCTGGGTTTCCCCAGCCACTCTGGGTGGCTTCCATAGAAACCAAAAATACACTAAAATATCATACATTAAAAACTTCCCTTATTTGAATGGCTAAAAAGGACCATCTTCTTACTTGCATGGGTTCTCTGAAGTGTAAGTTCCATATAATAAGAGATAAACTCAAGAAGAATGTCTTGCATTGTTGGGTTGAAATAAGCGACAGACGAGTGGCAAGTGTCATGTGGGAGGCATCTCCCGAGCAAGTCTCGGGGAGTCCCTTTTATTGAATATTACAGCATTACCACATATGTGCTTGTTGCTGATTGGTTAACGCGAATACAATGCAAAGGTTGAATATAGGCATTAATCATCAATAGATTAAAGGTTGGGAAAGGGGACACAGAATTGGACAGGCGTGAAACCTCCTTATTAAACTATTAACTAGTGATTGATTATCAAGACTTAAACTATTACTAATGATTGATATTGCATGACATGAAAGAACATAACAATCTCGTTCCGTAGATGTGGTCAACAATGCGTTAAGAACAGGTCAGGGTACACTGTTTCATGGACTCAATGTGAACTGATCAGAACATTCCCAGACTCATGTGCAGAGGCAGAAACTTCCCAGCATTGCATTGATGCTGCATTGTGATTATACTTTGTCTTACTTGAGAGAATTGTTTTATACCTGGCTGACTGCCTAAATGTATGAGTTGACAATCTATTCTACTTGTTATCCTTTAAGAAAATCTATTTACAAAAAAGAAAGGTTCTTTTCATCCTTAAAGGTATTTTATGGGCCAATCTTTCCTTCTAACATAATTCAGTCTAAGTGACACCTCATCTCAACCTGTGCTTTTAAGGTCTCTCTCCAATTCTCCCAAGGCTTGTTTATCTCTGCCATTTAAATAACAAGGAGTGAACATGATATGGTTTGCTAATCCAAGAGGCTAATTCCACTCCTTTCCCTTCGTACTCAGCTTCCTGCATGTTTGACATATTCACTAGGTAAATAAATAAACAAATTTTTTGAGATTACTTAATAATGCATGTCAAGAAGAACAGTTAATTCAACTGGATGTGTGTGAACAAAAGTAAAATAATAAAAAATAAGCCAAAGACAAAACAAATAACAAATAACTCAGGTGGGTAGTAAAGGTTTGAGGGATTTACATACAGTGGTGCCTCACAAGACGAAATTAATTCGTTCCGCGAGTTTTTTCTTTTTTTTTTTAAATGATATTTATTGAAAATTTTTAGAATTACAAAAGAGAACAAAGCAGAAAAAGAGAAAGAAAAAACAAAGAAAAAACAAACCACATCAAACAATACAAATTCAAAAAACAAAAATACACCACAAACACTCAAAAACAAATCCATCATTCTCAAATCCTCAACTGTCATTACCTTCTTTCTTTGACCTCCTCCTCCTCCCTTTTTTGTATCCTAGTTGTTAATTGTCGCAGCAAATCCTTTCCATATTTCATAATATTCTGTCATTACATTACCTTAATCTATTTTAATCTTATCTTACTATAAAGAACCTTAAAGCTTAAAACTTAAATCTTATTTTTACCAACTTCTCATAACCATAATATTCTTGCATAATTCTTTAAACATTTTTGCTAAAGCCAAGTAATTTCGTTCCAACATTTTTCTAACATTCATCAATTTTATAAAACAATCCTAGTAGTAAAAAAGAAATAAAAACAATCCAATCTTCATCCAGCGTCCCTTCCTCCTGGTCCCGGGTTTTGTCAGTCCTTATTATCCCATCGATCTAGCGCATTAACCTGGTAACCTTGTATCCAAGGCCCTTAAGTCTCTTCCATGTCCCTTCCGCAGCTCTTCTTCAAATTTATAACTGTATTTTCCTTTGTCTCCTGCTCCTTTCACTCGTGGGAACTCCAGCTTAACAATGTTTTTGACCCTTCTCGACAAATCAGCCCCTTCTCCATAGTCCACACTAAACTCCATGTGGTATTTAAGAACATGTTTCAAAATCCCTCCAAAATTAAGAGCCCCACAACCCCAAACATCTCACGGCCCATTGCCAGACTTGAAAGGTCCAAACATCCCTGCATAGGGGTCTATCCAACCCCCCATTTCCAAACCAAACCAAACTTTATCTTTCCAAATCTGGCTTTTTCCAAGTTCATTTGTCAAGTCCAAAAGCTCATGTTCCTGCTGGGCCACAGCTCCCTTCATCTCTGGCGCCCAAGATTCAGTAACATCCTCTTCCCTCATCTGTTCTGTCAGGGCACACTCCTGATTTAATTCCTGGGTGGGCTCCATATAATTTCCCACTGCCTGTTCAAAATTTCTGATCGCATCAGTCATCAAATCCGTCTTCTCATGTAGCTGTTCCAGTAGGGCATTTGTTTTACAGAAAGCACGCAACAGAGCTTCTGAATACATTGTCCTGCAAGGTCAGAAGTCTATTCCCACGATTGTAATCTGTAACAGCTGCAAGCTCCCGGAGTTGGTTACAGTTTCACAGTCTCCCTCTAGGGGAAAACTTCTATTTGTTCTTTCTTTTAAAGACAAGTCTAACAACAAAGTTTCCTTTTTCAGATATTTTGTCAATATTTGTTCCTTTAAAATGCGAAGGGGAACAATGGAATCAATGTTTCTCTTCTTATAGCTATCTGTCAAAAACGTTTGTCTCTGGTCAATGAGCTTCAAAAAACGTCAGTCCTGACACCCCGCTCCAGGATCAGGACGGTGGAAAGTTACTTTACTTTACACTCACTTCTGCAGGTTTAAACAGTCCGAAAAAATCCCCCCTCTTCTCCTGCTTCCGAAGGGGGGTTCAACAATTTTAAATGATGAAAGTTAATCTTTTACAAGCGATTTTCTGAGCTCTAGTTTGCCATGTCTTTGCTTTAATCTATCTACAAAGAAACGGAAGGCTGACTTCCTGTTTAGACCTTCCCGTTTCAGTGCCAAATTGAGGTAAACTTTTAAGTCCAATTTTCCTTTCTGCTCGCAAGTCCTTATTTAAAGTCCAATTGTCCGAAATTTAAGTACTCACGGGTGATTATGTTAGAAGCCAAATTGTCCCAGGAAAAGGCAGCGCTCTCCGGCAACGGCTGTGCGGCTTCGCTCCACGGAAGAAGCAGTTGACTCTCAGCACCGTGCCACTTCCCCCTCTTCGCTCCGGAGCCCATTAGTGGGTTCTTTTGTGGGTTGGGGGGGCGCTAAAGGTGCCTGCCGAGTCCCATGGTCACAGGCTTCATCCGCCTGTGATTTTTGAAAGGGTCCCCGCTTCGCCATAGCGGAAAAGACCCGTTTCGCGTGGAGCTAGTTCCTCCAGATCAGAGGGAGTCTGCCATTGCCGATGGCGCCATCCCGGAAGTCCGGTTCCGCGAGTTTTTTCGTCTAGCGAATTTTTCGTCTTGCGAAGCACGAAATCCCATAGGAATGCATTGAAATTCAATTAATGTGTTCCTATGGTCAAAAAAAGTCCAAACAAAGCCAAATTTGGTACAACAAGAGTTTATTAAGTGCTCTTTAAAGTCACACCCACCACACAGAAATTCAAATCCAGAATTTTTTTTAAAAAACAGCAGAGTGGCCCGATGGTCACAGAAAATCATAAAAATGCAGAAAAAAAGCCACACAAGCTTCCAGATTCTTGCAACCCCCTCCTCAACTATTCCCCCAGCCACCCACCACACAGAAATTCAAATCCAGAATTTTTTTAAAAAAACAGCAGAGTGGCCCAATGGTCACAAAAAATCATAAAAATGCAGGGGGGGGGGGGAAACACACAACCTTCCAGATTCTTGCAAACCCCTCCCCAACACCAAGTCCTTGAATTCCAAACACCCCAACCCAAAATCCAAAACCCCCCAAAAAAGTTTTAAAAGTTTAACTTACCAAATGGCTGCAAAAGAAGTTTTGGAAAAACTTCAAAAATCACCAAAGTCTTTAAAAACCTCAAAAAAGGCTACCACACCGCGTTCTATGAGTTGCTCCTCGAAGTCAAGTCACAACTGTATTAACGGTGTTAAGAAAAAGGAAACAAACTTGCAAGACGTTTTCGTCTTGCGAAGCAAGTCCATAGTGAAATTCGTCTTGCGAAGCAGCTCAAAAAACGCAAAACTCTTTCGTCTAGCGAGTTTTTCGTCTTGCGAGGCATTCGTCTTGCGGGGCACCACTGTACTCCAGCAGCAGATGCAAGAAATCTGGGGTAGGTGTCAGTGGAGAAATTTTTCCAAACTGCAAGGCAAACCATGTAACAGATCAATAATGCTTTAATTTCATTCAAAACTCACTGTCCTCCAGCCTCTTCAAGGTATGAATCTTATTTACACATACGTGATCCATCATTAAAGATGTATGCATTCATAATA